TAAATTTCTTCAAAGTTCTGTAAACTTCTGAGCTGTGAAATCTTTGAGAGAAATATCTGTCAACTTCTGAGCTGTGAGATCTTCAGAGAAAATATCTGTGAACTTTTTCAAAGTTCTGTGAACTTCTGAGCTGTGAGATCTTTGATAAAATATTTATAAACTTCTTCAAAGTTCTGCAAACTTCTGAGCTGTGAGATCTTTAAGAAAATATCTGTGAATTTTTTCAAAGTTCTGCAAACTTCTGAGCTGTGAGATCTTTAAGAAAATATCTGTAAACTTCTTCAAAGTTCTGTGAACTTCTGAGCTGTGAAATCTTCAATAAAATATCTGTAAACTTCTTTAAAGTTCTACAAACTTCTGAGCTGTGAGATATTTAAGAGAAATATCTGCAGAGATACTTTTTAAAGATACTGCAGACTGTGAGATTTTTAAAAGAAATATTCATTAACTTCTTTAAAGTTCTGTGAACTTCTGAGTTAATCTGTTAACTTCACTGATTTTTTATAAATATCTGTGAATTTCTGTGAAGTTATATGAACTTCTGAGTCTATCAAATTAGTTAATTTAAGAGAAAATAAATTCATTATATTGAAGAAAAAATGAATAATACTATACTGATATTTTTAATTCTTTTCTTTTTTTCTTTCTTTTTTCTCTTTTTCTCTTCTTCTTTTCTTTTTCTTCATAATTAAAAAAAGTAATATAATATCTCTCTCTGCAGTATTAGTGTGAATGCTTCAACTCTGCTTTCTCATTAGTGAAAGAAATATACTTACTACTGCTGCAGCTATTTTATATAAATAACTCTACTCAGATGAAGTTTGTTACTCTCTGTATATATATTCAGTATGAAAAGTATAATAAGAATGAAATAAAATACTAACTCTGATAATTAATTTTTCTCTCTATCACTGTATCTGTATTTATATCTGCTCTTACTTCTCTACTCTCATTCTTACTCTTGTCTGTGTTTATAAGAGTGAGAGTGAGAGTGAGAAAGTGTCTGAAACTTCTCTTTCTTTTTTGAAGAATGAAGATGATAAGCTGAACTTGTTCAGATAGATATGAAAAACTTTCTCTAAATAAGTATAATATAATAAGATAATAAGAAGTTAATATTATTATATAGTAGCTCTTACTCTCATTTCTTATTCTCTTTCTCAGACTTCTTCTCTTCTCTGTTTTTTATAGAGAAAGAAGTTCTGTTAAAATCAACTAAATAAGTAATATAAATTTGAATAAGATATATATAATAGAGAAAGAATCAATCACTGATATATTATATTAGCTTTCTCTCTCATTTCTCAGAGTTATTATAATCTCTCTCACTCTCTCTTTCTTTTATACTTATGAACTCTTCTCTCTCACTCTCTCAGCTGTCTCTTATATTAAGCTCTCACTCTCTTCTACTATCACTGCTGTTGATAATCTCTTTTATACTGTCACTGTCATCATCACTGTCACTAACATTAATAATATTATATAATGCTCTTCTTCTTTCAAGCACTTCATTCATCAGCTGTGTCTGTTAAGAGCAGACACAGCTGATAAATCAGTCTAAATAAGATTGAAATTGAATAATGAGTAAGAGCTCATCAATCTATCAGTCTCAGAAATCAGAGAAATGATAATCAGTCTTTTATAAGAAGTTTCAGTGATTCTCTTCACAAAAGCAGAGAGTGTGAAATTATATTGACTGAATAATAAAGACAGAGCTGAGTGAGTGACTGCTGAGAGAGAATAGATATACTGTCTATTAAGAAAATAATAAAAAATGTTAAGTATACTTTAATAAGAAAAGAGCTCAGATAGTCAAGTTCAGAGATTTTTATTCTCACTACTGAGTTACTATATATAAAAATGAATATAATATCTTCAAATACAAGCTCAAGAACTCTTATACATTCTCACTATCACAGTTATATTAATTACTGCTAAAGAAATCATCTTCTTCTTCATCAGAAAACAGTGCTTTAATAGTTTAGATTATTGTTTTATTTATACTGCTCTGCTTCATGAAGAAGATTTTAAGTAGAACTCTAATAAATAAGTAATTTATATGAGTGAATATATTGAAGATTCTATACAGATCTTTTTTACAAGTATCAGTTATAAATATAAATTAGTTAACATTGAAAAATTATATTAAAATTAAATATTTGTCAGATATTAGTTATATTTTTTTTCAAACTTAATATTTGATTGACTCACAAGTTAACAGAAGATTATATAAGTTAATAGAAAATTACATCAGTTTTATTACTAATATATCTATTCATAAAATATAATATTATATATTAAATGAAGACTGAGTAAATATCTATTTCAGTTATTCTTCTCTAAAATTATTTCTAAAGTAGTAGATATATTATTTATATTAGATAAAGATAGTGTATTTTCAATAATAATAGAATCTTACTCTATATTATCATTAAATTTCTCAGAATAAAACTCAATCTCAGTGTTAATAATTATATTATTGAAACTTGAATTCAGTGTAATTACTCACTGCTGAATTTATAATTGATTAAAAAACTCAATTTTCTTCTTCAGATTTTCAACATCAATTGAAAGTATATTTAAAGAGTTAAATATACATTTCTTCAGCAGTAAAAGTAAATCTTAAGATAAGATATAATTATTCTTTAACAGACTTCTAGCTGTAGAGAATATCTCTAGCTTAGTGACAGCACTTGTATATTCTCTGATAAGTGAATATTCAAAGATAGACTCTAAGATTCATTATAGCTGATGAACTCATGTATTTAACAGACAGACTTAATTAAATATAAAATAGATATTCTTTGTTAAATTTTTATAGCATTTCATCTTCAGCTTACAGCTATTATTAAGATGTTTCATATCTAGATTAATCACTTTGAAGAAGCTGAATTTTTCAGATCAGTTAATAAAACTCACAGCTATAATCATTTAATGCAGAGAGAGAGTTTTGATAAATTTAAGTATTTAATAATAATGAAGTATCTTGATAATATAATTATATTAACTCACACTAAGAAAGAAGATAATCAGAGATGAAATAAAAAGATGTTTCATATCTAAATTAATTACTTTAAAGAAGCTGAGTTTTTCAGATCAGTTAATAAAACTTACAGTTATAATCACTCAATACAGAGAGAGAGTTTTGATGAATTTAAGTATTCAATAATAATAAAGTATCTCAGTGATATAATTATATTGATCTGCACTAAAAAAGAAGATAATCAGAGATGAAATGAAGTATTCAAGAAGTTTAATATTATTATATTTAATAATATAGTGTATTCAAATGAATAACTCATATTCTCAGAGAAGATGATATATGATACAGAATTTAATATTATAAATGAACTGAGAGATTTGAGAGTTAATTTCTTTTCAGATATTAAGAGTAAATACTTTATTATATATATCTTCAATAAGCTGAAAATACTGTGAAGAACTAAGCTACTGTATAATAGTATTAATATTTTCTGAACATTTAAGATTAATAACTGAATAGTCTCAATATTGTATAGTAGTATAAAATAGAGTCAGACTTCAAGATGTAAAGCTCTGAGAAATCATCAGTTCAAGAATATAATATTTTAAATTAATGAAAGTTATAGAATTTCAGTTTTAATAGATAAAATCAGACTGAATATAGTGATAACTTTTCTCAGAGATATCTAATTCAAAATAAATACAGATAATGATGAATAGTAGATTCATTTGAATATAAAATCATTCAAAGATAGAATGAAGTCAGTTACACTATTTGAAGACTTCAGTGAATTTTAACTGCTCTATCTTAATTAATTAAATAAACTTTGTAGTTAAAACATCTTCATATACTGAAAAGAGATAAGTTAAAAATGCTGAATAATCTTTCAATAAATTAAGAAAATTATTAAATATCTTCTCATGAACTCTTATAGTTCTTACAATAGTACTCTCATTTTCAAAAATAGCACTCAATTACTGAAAATATGTTCTATACATGAAAAGTATATTAAGAATAGATATTTAAGATAGTAAATTATTTACAGTACTGAAAACAGTTTTAACTCTATTATTATAAATCTTTCAAATAGTATCTGAGATAAAATATGATATTATTTACTTTTAAAACTCATAATCATTACTCATCACATCAGATAAATTAATAATTTTTTTCAGTGTTAGAAGTTTTATAAAATCATGCATGATCTGAGTTAGATCAGATTTCAGAATTTCAGAGAAAATAATCACAGCAGCAGTGATTACAGCAGTTATATAATTATTGTATCTGATTATCTCATCTCATACAGTCTTCTTAAAGTTCATATTATCATAGACTATAACAGTTTAAGAATTTTTGACAAGCTGTCAAAGTTTAATCTAATAGTAAGAATCAGTTAAGTGATTCACTCAGAAGTTAATAGAAGTTTAAAGAATATATTAGAAATTAACAGATATTATCAGATATTACTAGAAGTTTGAGAAGTTAGATAGAAATATTAAAAAGTTAAGAATATTAAATTGTATCTTCTTATAATTAGTAATTTTTATTATCAATCTATTTCTCATTATATAGCTGTAACAGAGTTCAAAGTCAGAAATAGTTTCTATCACTTATTATTTTACTTCAGAGTTATAAAAATATACAGAGAGAATAGAGCTGAAGAAGTTTAAGTTTTTTAAAAAATAAAAATGATATATAATACTTATAATAATAAATAGCTGTTTAATAGCTATTATATTATCTGAGTCTCATTTATAACTCTTTCAATTAATATATTTATTCTTTAGAACAGAAGTAAGTAGATTAACTCAGATTAATATATTAATCTGAATAATCTTAAAAGCAGTTCAGAAATCAATACTATTCAGATCAAAGTCATAATTGAATTTTATAAAATATTGTAACAGGTGCCCTGCGGGGGCCTGTGGGCCTGGAAGGCCCCGGGGGCATGAGGCCCCAAGCCAAGGTCTATAAGTATGGGTTCCGGGCGTGGCTGGCATGGCGCCAGTCATCTTATGGTCTTTTTGGCCTAGTGGATAAGGCTCCGGGCCCGGAGAGTCCCATTCCATGACAATTTGACTGGCGCCATGCGGTCACCGGAGGTTGCAGGTTCGAATCCGGGGGTGATTGGGCCTGAATCTCTAGGTGGCTGACAAGGACAGGGGCCTTAGTGGCAAGAACCGCCGGGTGGCGTGAGCCAGTGGCAGCCTGAATCCTTGGGGGCCTAACCATATTATAGGTGCTTGGCAGTCACGTGTCATAGTCATAGTCAAAGTCATAGTGTGTAGCTCCGGGCGTGGGCCCCGAGCAGCTCTGGGCGTGGCGCACCCAGAACCATGGTACAGTGCCCCAGAGATAAGCCGGAGGGCTTGGGCATGGTATAGTGTTTCAGAGGCCTGTGGATACAGGCATGACGGCCTATGGAATAGGCCTGAGGTCCCGGAAAGAGCCGGAGGGCTCGGGACGAGCCCCTATAAGAGGGGAGGCAACTGTAACAGGTGCCCTGCGGGGGCCTGTGGGCCTGGAAGGCCTCGGGGCGTGAGGCCCCAAGCCAAGATCTATAAGTATGGGTTCCGGGCGTGGCTGGCATGGCGCCAGTCATCTTATGGTCTTTTTGGCCTAGTGGATAAGGCTCCGGGCCCGGAGAGTCCCATTCCATGACAATTTGACTGGCGCCATGCGGTCACCGGAGGTTGCAGGTTCGAATCCGGGGGTGATTGGGCCTGAATCTCCCTAGGTGGCTGACAAGGACAGGTGGCCCTAGTGGCAAGAACCGCCGGGTGGCGTGAGCCGTGGCACCTGAATCCTTGGGGGCCTAACCATACTATAGGTGCTTGGCATCACGTGTCATAGTCATAGTCATAGTGTGTAGCTCCGGGCATGGGCCCCGAGCTCCGGGCGTGGTGCACCCGGAACCATGGTACAGTGTCCCAAGAGATAAGCCGGAGGGCTTGGGGACAACTTCAAGAAGGCCTGTGGATACAGGCATGACGGCCTATGGAATAGGCCTGAGGTCCCGGAAAGAGCCGGAAGGGCTCGGGACGAGCCCCTATAAGAGGGGAGGTAACTGTAACAGGTGCCCTGCGGGGGCCTGTGGGCCTGGAAGGCCCCGGGGGCATGAGGCCCCAAGCCAAGGTCTATAAGTATGGGTTCCGGGCGTGGCTGGCATGGCGCCAGTCATCTTATGGTCTTTTTGGCCTAGTGGATAAGGCTCCGGGCCCGGAGAGTCCCATTCCATGACAAATATAAAGTATTAATAAAATATTTCAGCTTCTATTTAAATAAAATAATATAATATTAATTATTATTAAATACTTCTACTTTTAAGAGTACTGAATATAGTGTATTTCACTACTTCACAGAAGTTCTGTATCACTGATAAGTTAAAATATCAGAACTCTGAATTCAAGTTTTTATAAAGATTTTCATTTTTTAACTGTTTCACTGTAATATTTTAATAATATAAGATAATTTTAAAAGTATTTTTCACTGATTATAAGATATAGTAAATAAATATTACAGATTATAGTTATAGCAGTTTGATAGTGAACTAATTTATAAAATATCAGTATTAATACTCTTGAATTTCAATGAAATATCTATAGATTTAAGATTTAATAAATTATTATCTGATATTTTATATTCATCATCTAGATCATTGAAAGAGTGTAGTAATTATTGAAAGAATTCTTCTTTCAGTAATAAAAAATATCAGCTGAAATATATCTGATATTGAATATCTTGAGATTCAAAAAATATACTGTCTTTTATTAACAGTTATAATATGATATGAAGAAGTAGTAAGTTATAAAATAGCAGAGATAATAGTGAAATGACTGAGAATTCAAAAAATATCAGTTTAATGATAATTAGACAGATATTTAGAGTAGATATATAATACTGAAATTAATTAAATATTTTGTATGAGTAGAGTTGATTTTTTATATATAATGAAACTATTTCTTCTCAGACTCTCTATAAGATATTATATTACAGATATATGAGAAGTAGCTGATTAATTCAGAAGTTAGCAGAACTTGATAGAAGTCTAAAGAAGTTTAGTTGGTTGCACTAATTCAAAAATATTGAGAGAGAGGCTGAGCATGCTGAGATAAAACCTTTCAAGCTATTTTTAGCCAGAATGCCAAGATATATGATAATCACGTGAATTTACAGCGAAATGCCGATGTCTTGGCATTCTCAAACCTCGGCCTGATTGGACACGTCACGTGCTATTCCTCCAGGTTGGGCTGGACTGAGAAATTGCAGCAAAAGAACTTTGTAAACAAGCCGACAAGGCCCTTGACGTTTTGCTTGTAGCGCAACGTCTCTCCTCCGGACCGCCTATCCCCTGTTTACGCCGCCTTGAGGACTGAGGTCTTCTAGCTTTCTTTCAAATCCTTTGCCGCCAACATCTGAGTTACGCCCCTGTCCCGCCCTATATCTCGACAAATCAAGCTGGCGTCTCGGAAACCCCCTCCCCCCTGGCGATCTAAGTAGCAACATACGCGGAGCAACGAAACGGAACTCTGAGGATTAGTGGTTGGTCCGGACGAAAAAAATTTGAACATGGCGTCTTTGGGCGATGACCTGTTGGTCACGGTCAACAAGCTCCAGGATTTGGTCTTCAACACCATTGGCAATGATTCCCTGGACTTGCCACAGATTGTATGTACCCCTTTTCCCCCCAGTCATACAGCAATACTCAGGCCATGAACAATGGCCCTTACGGTACCTTTCCATTATTCTAACTGTGATTTTATAGGTTGTTGTTGGCTCACAATCCTCTGGGAAATCTTCTGTGCTGGAAAATATTGTTGGAAGAGATTTTTTGCCCCGCGGAAGCGGCATTGTTACAAGACGACCGTTAATCCTCCAACTGATTAATATCCCCAGCGACCGCGATGATTTCCCCGATAACCATGAAGTTCATGTTCCGCATACAGCATCCAGAGTCGCCGGGCACAGGGAGTGGGCAGAGTTCCATCATCAGCCAGGAAGAAAATATGATGACTTTGCCCAGGTCAAACAGGAGATTGAGAATGAAACTGCAAGGATAGCGGGAAACAACAAGGGCATAAATCGGCAACCTATCAATCTTAAGATCTACTCGCCGCATGTGCTCAACTTGACTCTCGTGGATCTTCCGGGTTTGACAAAAGTGCCCATCGGGGACCAGCCCTCCGACATTGAAAAGCAGACGCGCAATTTGATTTCGGAGTACATTGCCAAACCCAACAGTATTATTCTGGCTGTTTCCCCTGCGAATGTCGACCTTGTGAACTCTGAGGCCTTGAAGCTCGCCCGCCATGTCGATCCCATGGGCCGAAGGACTATCGGAATTTTGACGAAGCTGGATCTGATGGACCACGGCACGAATGCTTTGGATATCCTTTCTGGCCGAGTGTATCCATTGAAGCTGGGCTTCATTGGAGTGGTCAATCGATCTCAGCAAGATATTCAAAGTGGCAAGTCGTTGGCCGATGCGCTAGCTGCCGAAGCGGAGTTTTTCAGACACCATCCAGCCTACCGAAACATTGCTACTCGCTGTGGGACCCAGTTCCTGGCGAAAAGCTTAAACACAACATTGATGTCACATATTCGGGATAGGCTACCTGATATCAAAGCTCGGTTAAATACTTTGATGGGCCAAACCCAGCAGGAATTGGCGAGCTACGGAAATAAACAGTTCAGCGGCAAGGAACACCGGGGGTCGCTAATCCTCCAGCTCATGACCCGATTTGCGTCTTCATTTATTTCCTCAATTGATGGAACCTCCTCTGAGATTTCTACAAAAGAGCTGTGTGGCGGTGCGCGGATCTACTATATTTTCAATTCTGTCTTTGGGAACTCCTTGGAGACGATTGACCCAACCCATAACCTTTCCGCCCTCGATATCCGAACAGCTATCCGTAACTCTACAGGTCCTCGACCTAGCCTTTTCGTCCCCGAAATGGCCTTTGATTTACTTGTTAAACCTCAAATCAAGCTTCTAGAAATCCCCAGCCAAAGATGTGTCGAACTCGTTTATGAAGAACTTATCAAAATATGTCACACCTGCGGTTCAACTGAGCTGTCCCGATTTCCCCGCCTACAAGCTAAGCTCATTGAGGTCGTGTCTGATCTCCTGAGAGAGCGACTTGGCCCTTGCTCTGCCTACGTTGAATCACTCATTTCTATTCAGCGTGCATATATTAATACTAATCACCCCAACTTCCTTGGTGCAGCTTCTGCCATGTCATCCGTGATCCAGAACAAACAAGAACAAGAGAGAAAAGCTGCTGTGGCTGAAGACCGACGGAAACGAGAACGACGACGGATGAAGGAAATCGGGGCTGTTAACGGAATAGCAAACCCAGATGGCGAAGACGAGCAAGATGCTGATGATAAGACGCAGAATATGCCAATCCGGGGCCAGAAGGCTCATAGAAGCAGATCACCGCATGTCGGTCGTGCGCTAGAAAATGGCCATTCCGCCATCGCTGCCACGCTAAACGGACCTCAGTCCTCGTCTGGCTTTGGACCCCAATCAGCTGGAACAGCCAGAGATTCATTTCTCAATTACTTCTTTGGCAAAGAGGGTGGTTTACCGAGCCAGGGGCAGCTACCTCAACCGTCATCGGGACCACCGCGCCATGTCAGCCATTCCACCGAGCCCAGCTTCAGCCAAAGTTTCCGACGCAATGAAGTGAAATCGCCTACCCCCACTCAATACCCACAAGACAATAATGAATATCAGATGTCGTCGGAATACGGCGAACCCGCATTCCCAGTAAGCTATCATCCCGTAAAACCTCGCCAAAAGATTAAGCCAGAAGTAATAAATAAAACTAACGCTCTCCTCAAGAATGATAACGTAGAACCCGCGCTCACAGACCGTGAGGCTCTCGAAACGGAATTAATCCGCCGGTTAATTTCTTCCTACTTCAACATAGTGCGCGAAACCATTGCCGATCAGGTGCCCAAGGCGATCATGCATCTTCTCGTCAACCACAGCAAGGAAGTGGTCCAGAACAGACTCGTCAGTGAACTTTATAAAGAAGACCTGTTCCCTGAGCTTCTATATGAGGACGACGGCATCAAGGCGGAACGCGAGAAATGCGAGAAACTGTTGGGCACGTATAAAGAAG